GACCGCTCAATCACAGAGAGTCTCATAGCCCACCGACAGATAGATAGACAGACAGACAGATAGCTATGTTTTGTGATGTCTAGTGGCTATTAATGATCAATTATAACTCAAGACTTCAATGTTAAGATAAAAGAGTATTAAATCACAACCGCAAACAAATACTTAACAAGAACAAAGAAATAAGTCAACCAAAGATAATTAACCATTTCAGTGAATAGTTTGTTAGTAGCGCGGCTCGGTTTAACGTCCGATAAATCCTAAATCAAAACCCAAATCATCGACGCACGATAATTCACACTAATTCGACTGGATAGTTCCATTCAATAGTCACTGCAGTCAGTAGCCTGACACCGCTATTTATACTCATAACGGAAAACATATATACATAAGTCCAGAGTATCACGCTCGAACCTCGGTGTCGGTAGTTAATCAATTTATTCCTATATAACAATCAGTCAGTTATGTGCCATGCGGGATACACGCTTAGGTGATCATGTATCGAAAGAGGCACATTTTTTCTCGCAGCACATTTTTTCTCGCCATTTCTTTCTGCGGTAGACCAGTTGCCATCCAAGACTATATAGAACCCGGTCTGTTCTGAAGGAGAGAAGAAGAAAATTCATACCTTTCCCAAGGTATGAATCTTCTGGAATTCGAACTCGGCTCTCCTCGTTTAAAATTCCAGTGTTAATAAACTTCCGAGTACAATTGCCAGTTTTACGATAACTCGAACTTTCTGTACAAAAGACTTAAGATCAATCACACTATAGTGGCTTTATCTCTGATATTGAGCACTGTTATTAAAAACAATGTAAGTTGAATTTATTGCAACATTTATTTATCTTGCAAATAATAAATATTAAGTATTAGTTATATGTCCGCAACATACTCGTAGACATTACAAATATAATAGCCCCATCCACATATTTTAAAAAAAGGCTAAAATAATGGAAGCATTATAAAGAAAGAAAGAAAAATTTAGCATTCAGTGACATCAGTTATGAACACGGCCACAATGTGCTGACCGTGTTTGGAAAATAAAAATATGCCTATAACTACTGATACCTACATAAAAAAATCTCTACTTTCAGTTAAATGTAAAAATAAAATCATCTTTAATAATGGGTAAAAGAATAGCCGAAAGAGCTCGGACATAAAAAAAAACATTCGGACAATTTCTACATACTATATGTTTAGAAAAATGTTATGAGGACAAAAAAAAAATTTAAATAAAATACTGAACTGCAGTTCTTTGTCAGTCGTTTTAAACGGAACTTGTATAAAAGAAGGATTGCTGCCAAAATACATTATATAAATATATATATATATATATATATATATATAGTTTAAATTACATGATCCCGCAGCCCACCAAACTATCAACACTTGGCATCTTTGATAATGGCTTATGTAAGCCGAAAGCTTAGATAGGATTAAAAATATGTATCAATATTGTGATTTTCTTTATTCTTTTAATGATAATGTTATTAAGCTTATCAGACAATATGAAAAGAATTTAAATAAAATAAATAGACAAAACTTGTCTATATTATTTAATGAAACATGCATCAATGAAGAAATGTTGCCTAAATGCACACAATTTATGTATATATATATATATATATATATATATATATATATATATATATGAAATTCAAAATGACCACATATGGGGAATAATCTTATTTCAGCCGACGAAAAAAAAAATCATCAGTCTTATTCATCCCCGGTATAGACTGAGTTCGTGTCGGAATTAGAAATTTAACAGTGAATGCCACAAAAAAAAAAGTTCGAAAAATAATAGAGAACTTATCCATTACAAAGTTTCAGTCATACGAAAAGCACAAGAAAGTGGTCAGGGGAGGGTGGAAGGTATTTGTTTGAAAGGGAAGAGGTTTTTTAAAGTTAAACCCGGATATCAACCTTATGGCATTAAACTGGCGTTATATGAAGAATGTAATGCTAATTTAAAACTAAGAGCGGAATAAAAAGGCGGTTAAAAAACAAAACTTGAAATATATAAAGTTATGTTTAAAAATACAAATATCATACTCAAATACTATTCCAAAGACAAGATATTAAGATATATATTAAAAAGTTATAATAAAAAAAAAGTCATATTTTAATAATTTATGTTAAAATTAAGTAAAATTATACATTTAAAAATAAGTTATACTTAATATAATATCAATAGGTTATATTAAAGAATAAAATATATTTAGAAATAAAAATAAAATAAAATAAATTATACATTTAAAATAAAAATGTAATGAAAGAAAACGGCAATGAATTTATTACCTTTACTATATATATATATATATATATATATATATATATATATATATATTTTTTATTTTCATATATATATCTATTTGTTTTATTTTCCTAAACAGTGAAATTAATAACAACCGGCCTAAATTGATAAGTCCCACGAAAGAAAGATTGTGGCTCCGAATCGAACCTTTTTCTGAGGATTTCTCCACATTAGAAATTATTTATT